GGTGTTGTGTACTGTGAGACATTATGGTGTTGTGTACTGTGCTATTTAACAAACGTTGTGGTTGAATATCACCATTAATGGAGACACTCATTTATCCCAATGGGCCTTTTGCATTGATGCAACCTAGATACAATAACTGTATCTGGATTTGAGAAGATCTATAATTATAGAAGCACTTCCACTCAGAGAACAGTTAATAGAATTTAGAACGTGTAAACACGAGCGACACCGAAATTTATTCGTTACAATGTTCGATGAGAATGTACAATACTATATTTTTGCACCATTATAACGCTAAATTACATTTTCATATTTTTATCGTCCTGGAGGAATTAATTTTTGAATTGTTAAATATTCTTTATTTTCTTTATAAAGTTAGTTAAGTAGAATTTCCTATACACTTTCAATTACACAAATTTGTATTTGGAGAACATAACAGACACTTCTTAAGTGCAATATTGTGATCAGTGTTCTCGAAAGGAAAATAATAAACGTAATTCTAAAATTCTCTGATGTTCTTCACTTTACAGCATTTCATTATACAATCATCATGTTTACAGGTGCAGTAATATGGTTTTATTGTAATAATAATAATTATTTTTTCTTTTTGCTGATTCAGAATTTACAAAATATTAATCCAGATCGATTAGTCTATAACCTGTAAATGTATTTCACCCTTCATATCTTTTCATATAGACAATTCAGATAAGTAATAATGTATATGCATGGCTATTCATGAATGATAGAATGTATATACAGATTTAGATTTGCAAGTTAGAAATCACATCAGGCTCATAATTTGATTTTTCCAGGAAATATCAAATTAGTTTATTAAATTAAACAGAACAGTATAAAACGGTTATAATGAAAAAGGTGTTATTAACTGTATTCAATTATATGGAGCCTGACTTAGTCCTTAAAAGGTTTGATTAATTCACACGTTCAAATTTTTAAGTTATTTGAAATAACTAAGGACTAGAAGAGCATGGATATTTTGTGACTAAAGATTGCGAAAAGATACTGTTCGTTCTGTTTAACACTTTTGTTATTTCTTTCTGCAAGAAAAGTCGAACAAAACTTCCAAAACTTTACAAAACCATGATCTTTAAACACTCGTTGAACTCGTACTGTAACCAGGTGGTGATGAATTTGCGAAGCACTTGTATTTTTCACTTCACACAACTCGACTCGATCTGTAATAGCATTCCTGATGTTTCTCACTTTTAATTATTGAATAGTATACTATCCATGAAATTTCAACTTAATAGCAAATTTTACGAATTTCTTTGTTGAAATATTTAACTAAACCTATGTGGAACGATAAATTGCGTAGAAATTTAAAGCTTCATATTTAAACGAAGTGAACGAAGCAAAAAAAGTACTTTGATAAATGCGATTTATATTTTTTGTCTTGGTAAGAATCCAAAACATTCTTGGTTTAACCAATTAGAATGAAATTTTATAAAGAAACTGTGTAAGTATTTTGCACTTTAGGAATATGAAGAATTTAGAAATTCGTAACTTTAGAAATTACATGGAACCAGTAACAGTGGGATCCTCAGGCTAATCATAATTTTCACAATTTCGTTGGATACAGTTATTAGGTCGGGTTTTCACCTATTTCTTTCTCTTTGAAGAACAGTGTTAATGGCCGTTCGTGCGATGGCATGAAATGTGTTTAATAATTTTAACTGAAGCTAATATCATTAATCATAACACGATAAAATATGAATTTAATTTTCGTTGAAATAAAGTAACTTTACGTTTACTTTACACTACCATTTTATCATATGTATTTATCAAAATCATTTTATTAGGAAACATCGCTTTAATAGTATTATTATTGTTATTACATACAGAAGATACTCGGGTCGTTGAAAACTGGCAGGAGCGAAAGTAACAGAAGACAGTTTTTAAACACAATAAACATGTATTTTCATTCTATGATATGTAGCGTACAACTAAACATAAACAAACATAATTGAAGTTGCTCCAAAAAGCAGAACAAAAACGTAATAGAGCGCAGCAATTTCGTTATTCCTTACGTAATTAACCCAAGAGCAGCTAAAGTATTGATCTGATCTGCATCGATCCATTCTGTCAAAAATCTATCAATAAATTATTTTTATTAATCTTTATATGGTCTTCAACCAATTACATTTCTATTGAGGCAGATAATAATTTATTAACTGTATTATCGATTTTAAACGAATCGATACGAAGCTTTCTGATTGGACGTTGCGAAGATTGCTTCTTTAAAGCGCAATATTGATTTCGGGGCAAAGTTACCTCCGTTTAAGCCTTCAGACAGTAGATTAAGCAAGCCTCATGACAGAGCAGCTTTTGCTTAAAACAGATCCTTGTCTAATCGAGAACAATCGATCACGAGCTTAGAAGGCGAATAGTAGAACTAAAACTTCCCCTTGGTTGGTAATGACATCGACTAACACCCCTGTTCTCTTCATTGAACAAGAAGTTTCAAACTTGAAAACATGATGTACATTTGTCTATCACTTTATTTACAAATTACACACAAGTTCGAGAAAAAAAATAATCAACATAAACTTCAAATTTAATTTTTAAGAAATACTGGATTCTCTGAGAAAATTGAACAACTAAATAAGGTACGTAAACTAAGCTTTCAAAACCAGAACTTTGTAATAGAGTAATTTATCGAGGAAAATAATTTCACTCTCTAGGATGAAGTCAATTTTAATGAAACAACGGAAGAAAATTAATGTATAGCCTGCGAATCAAATACAGCGGACGGTCGGTATTTATTATAAATTTCTTGGAAAAACATGGAAAAATTTTCTCAGTCTCTGTAACCGTTCATTTTGTGGTTACTCGCGTCGCGAATTACGGCACAGATTTTTTTAACTCCGTGACGCGAGGTTGTAAGGCTCGCGCTTCGATTCGATTACGGTACGTCGCGGCGCGTTGCTCTGCGGAATTAATTTTTGAGCAATAATTCAACTAAATCTCTTTTGATAGATAAAGGAAACTAACTGGTTATGTTATATGTTTACGAAGTCCGGAACGATGGACTTGCTTTATGAATTAAACTATTGAGGTTCGGTTCGAATGATTCACGTAATGCTCAAGTAGCTCATTTGCTGTTCGATTTTGTTCTGCTTTAGCTCTCGATCGAACGAGCTAAGGAGCCCCGGCGTAAATTTCGGAAATACGTTGATTGGTCATCGTTCGAATTTTGATTTTCCATTCAACGTGTCCCTTGACTTTCTCCCACCCTTCCGTTACGCCCTTAGCGCGTTTCTCTTGGAGAGGGTGGACAGTATCAGATCGTACGTGAGAAATTCGCAAGTCCGGCAACGCCGGGGTTTTTCCTTTGGGTCTCAAGGCCTGATGGCCGTAAAGTACCGTAACGGATGTACCGTCGAAATGACCCTTCAGAATTACCGAATTTATGACAGGAATTGGCTATCGAGGATGAAACGAAAACTAAAAATTTAACACTATTGTACGAAAAAAGGTAAATGAATATTGCAGAAAATAAGGAAAAAGTCTTTCTCAAAAATAGCCTTTGTCGCGGACCTATTATAAACTCTCCAAGCGAAATCCTCACATACCGTATTCCAACGGTTGGAACAGTCTCATTCGTTTATAATTTTGTAACGTCCCTGGAGTTAGACTCAGGAGTTCACTCAGGACGCAAAGAGCGGTATTTGCCTATTGAGCGACTCGCTCTTATTATAATTAACTCTAAAAGAATGCGGAATCATGGTGGCGTGTGGTTAAAGAGTGAAATCTACAGGTTAACACCTTTCAATAATTAAGTTTATTCGAGTAATAATGGTAAAAATAGGATTATAATTAACAATTACTTTAGCAAAAATATAAATGTAGGATCGTAAATTATCGAGGTTGACGGAATTAAAAGTACAGACACTGATACAACTTTTCGAACAACTTGCTACTTCCAACGTTACGACAAGACTGATCCCGACGTCACGCCGTTTTCCTCGTTCTCCCTTGGTTCCCGCGTAAAAGGAAACAAATGCAATCTAATTCTTTGTTTCCTCGCTAAATTTCCGCGCCAAATTATCTTGGCGCCAATCGTCCACGTTTCCCGCTCGCCCGATCACGCCCGATCGTATTATTCGATGAACTCCGGATAAACCGATCCCACATAAATATACAAAAGAAGTATATGTACGTCTGGATTCGATAAGGAAAATTAAATATGTAAGACCTATTGATGTCGCAAATCACAAAACGGTAGCTAGTTACATACTTCGGTTACGCGGTTTTGTAATGAAGTACGTGTTATTAATTAATTACTTAACTGATTATTATGACGCAACGCAAGAAACACGATTTTGTAATTGATCTAGATCGTAACTTCTGACAGCACAATATTTGGTTTATTACAAAGACTCGAAAGTTTGTATTAGAAATAGTTAGACGTAGAACAGCTACTCTTTTTGACTCTAAGACTATTAGTTCAATTGCCCTTTTTGTCGAAGCACAAATTGACACCCAAAACCTGATCACTTCATTGGAGTGCCTGCTGTTCACTGACTACTAGAACGACCCAACGATCAAGTATCCAAATAGCTGATGCCCGCTGTCCAGTCGAAACTAAGAATCTTGTAGGCTCTTACCAGCTAAAACTGCTCCAACTTGTCACTTTATACTTCTCCTAAGAGGTCCGACTCGTACTGTTTCAAAAATTGTTCTGCACTCGCAGCGTTCGCTGCACGCTCTTTTTAACCGACTTCGAAAAAGGAGGAGGTTACTCAATTCGATCAGTATACTTTTTTTTTTCTATGTATGCCTGCCGATTACGCCTAGCTGGATGGACCGATCGGAACGAACCCTTTTTCACTTTTTTCTCGTAGTTAATTTTCGGGGTCTACCGGGTCTTCCTTTATTCCGCAATATTTCTTCTTTTTTATACTTGTTTATAATACTTTGTACAGTCGATCGACTTCTTTTTACTATTTCTGATATATTTCTATGTAATTTACCTTCTTCATGTAAGCGTATAACAATTTTTCTTTCTTCTAATGTTGTTTCGTTGCGTTTTCTCTTCATATTGCAAATATTAGTACTAAAGTGTACCTGCCACGATTACTACTGACTACACTAACATAACATCATTTAATGTAATGGTTATATTGATCAAAATGCCCTGATCCATAGCAGTTGTATTTATCAATGTTGAATTTCCATAGTAAAGTGGCAAAAATAAATTTAATAAGAAGTCGATAACGTTTACTGATGTCGGTAATAAGACGTCGATAATTATGTATGTTAGATTATCGATTATTTATATGATGCCACTCGTTTAAATTTTTGATTCGCAAATGTTAAATAAAATAATTCTGATATTCTCTTTCGTGTTTGTTTCTCTTTATAAAAATTTCTGATTTCGCACGGACATAATAGAACGAGTTATTTAAGTAGTTCTTCCTTAGTTTTCTTCATTTAAATATATAAAGTTTGTTTTAAAAAGTTATAAGTGTTCTGTTTAATTATTTAGTATTTCTTTATTTATTTAATACTCATAACCATATTCCATTAATCAACATAAATGATAATGTACGAATAGTTTTGTTTCGGTGATTTCTTATGGTCTCATGAATTTCAAGTCATTTCAAGTTACTACATGATGTTATTGTCTTCGGTTTTGGGTCATTTGTTGCTGTAAGTGCAATATTTAATATGCAGTTACGTATGATTAAATATACTTAATAATATATAAAATATTGTTCTGTTTTTTTTTTATATTTCAAGTGTACGAATATTTTTGTCCTCCGCTGTATGTTATCGTTTTTTCCTTTTGAATAACAAATATAAGTATCGAACAAATTCGATTCACACGGTTTAATTTAATAAAAAATAATTGGTTTATTCCCTATCTGTAAATAATGCATAACCTATTTTTATTCTTGATTATTTTACTCATTATTTGATTCAACTTTGGCATAGCATGTTTTGACAGAAAATATGCTTGTTTACGATCACGCTCAGCTGTCAAGCTCGAAGCTGTCGTCTCTTGCGTCTGAGCACGCGTAATCCTTGCGCTCTAATTGGTCCGTGTTTTTCCTTAGTAATTCAAAAAAACTTCAGTCAACATTTTGATAAAGGAAAAAGTTGTTCAGTATCACGTCAGCTACCACCCTTTGAAATTATGCCCATCAGTAACCGAACACACTGTATAAAAATTTCTTCAAAATCGGCGTGTAACAATTCCCGAAAGTTTGAGTAACGATAATAATGTCATTGAAGTACGCGAACGCATGGGACTCCATTTCCGAACCAATCAAATTGTTCAGTAATCACTGAAAGTTAGTGGGAGCTTTGGTCGACCAATAGGACATGCGTGCGAAATGGAATAGTCCTTTTCCGGGTACGGTAAAAGCGGTAATTTCGCGAATATCTTCTTCTAATGGAATTTTGAAATAAGCGACTTAAATCCGGTGTGGAAAAATAGTGTGCGGCACGTAATTTATCGAATATGCTCGTCATATTCGGTAACGTATACACATCTTTTTTGATACGGTATTTATTTTCCGGAAATTTAAACAAAAGTAGTACGGTCCCGATGATTTCTTTACCATCACGATTGAACTTGACCATCCACTATGCGAATACTCGATAATTCTCTCACAACATATTATCTACTTCCACATAAATGGCTTCTTGAACTATAAGGGACATGAGATAATCGCGCTGTTTAATAGGTCTGTGATTGCTGACGTCAATTCTATGTTCCGTCACAGTAGTATAAGAATAGTAATATAGTAGTATACTGCTGCGGTATGGGCAATAATTCGTTATCAACAAATTTTTGTAATTATTTCTGTTACTCCGGGATTGTTTCTAAAATTCCTAAACACAGCACGGTCGGTACGATAGTCGGGTTATTATTTTCGCTATAAAACGATAATTCGGTAGCGGGATAGGACAAAAAACACTATACGGCTCGAAAAATGTCAACGATAATCGGGCAAATCGATAGAAAATCTATTGCGACAATACACGGCATCAGAAAATTCGACAACAAATATGTTTTGAGAGCACAAATCCGGCCTTCGATCGTAATCAGAGCTTCCATGCTCTTGCAAGTTTCCTCCTTCTGACCGACAGCGGTCATAATTCGACAGATATAAGACGTTCGCGTAAGGATATTCTGGTCTTCGACTACTGAAATTGCTTCTATTCTCAAACAGGCTCTACTCGATCCGGAATCTACGAGGGGAATTAACGAATGGGTTTACCGTCAATTTCTATCTCAGCAAATCAAAAAGAATTTATGTCAGTGTTGCATCGCCTCAGAGTGCGATGCAACTATTTTTTATATCTTAAAGAGCAATAAACCGGGAGTTTCGAACTGACCGTACCGGCAATAAGTTTATGAAGCCATTGACCATTTTTCGGTAGACAAAATTACTTCCGCGTCGACAACCCAAGTTTATTGCTTGGGACCAGCATGTTTAATTTCCAATTCCGTTATTTTCAGCCATCGCAGTCAGGGTCAGAGTGACTTTTCACCTTATTACCTGCTACGGGTTTTTCCCAAATCGCGGAATCCCTCGTGCGTCACCCCTTGGTCGCGGCTACTTCCAGGGGTGACCATTTCTTGTACGAGGGAGGTGACCATTTCTTATGAGGGCGGTCACCTCTCAAAAATCAACGAACACCCCCTTCCAAATCACCGATTCCCAGGTAACGTCGACAGTTACTCTTGCGGAGACAGACAGAACTCATTAATATCTCAAATAACACTTATCTAAATCAGGAAGAGAACTCAATAATATCTCAAACAACACGTATTTAAATTACGAAACGAATTCAATACCTCGAATCATACACACTTACAACACGGAAAGAATCAACACGTATATCGAACAACACTTACTTAAAATATGAAATGAATCCAACTAATATCTCAACCAACATACTTATAACACGAAACGAATTACCACATATCTCGAACATTATAACACGAAACCAATCGATTTATAACACGAATCAACAAACTTATAACACGGACTATCAATTGGAATCAGACTCAGAGCTCATTAAGTTGTGACTGGGTCAGAATAGCGCTGGGTGCTCGAATCCGCGCTGTTCATGCAACAGTCGGAATACGTAAACGCGCTATAAATATAAAAGTGGGGACTTCGATCGGAAAAAGGGACATTGATCGCGAATTCTTAGGGAGTCGGCTGGCTCCCTAACGGCGTCTCGAGTTTTTCGCACATTTTTCACATGAGGCAGGGGTCACTCCACTTTTCAACGGTAGCAGTAACGTGGCAATGGATGCGAACATCTGGCAGCGCGGTGTCTTACCTAATTACAGTTCCAGCACTTCAAAGTCCTGACGTTTGCGGTATTTACCAGTATAGAGCAGTTCGTTAGTGTTAATAAACGAGTTTGTGGGCCACAGAGGAACCGAAGTGTTAGATAATCGCAGGAGACAATGCGGAGGCTCTCTTTCTGTTCGAGCGAAGCTAGTTTAAGAATTCTGATTTGTGCACAAATTATTATTATTGGCTATATTATCGCTCAAGGCTTTCGAAATCTCGCGTCTCTTTCCGTTGTACCGCCAGTTGCAAACGCAGCATCATATTTCGATGGGCTTAATTTAATTGTTCATCTATCGGTGAATTCAAACGAATGAGCAAAGCTTTAATACAGGTCAAATAATCTATATAATGGTTTCCTATTTTTTCTGATGGACACATGTTCAACACTTAGAAAAGAAACCCTAACTAAAATGTCTTCAAACCCTTAACTGTCGAGAAAGTTTATAGCTCACCGGGAATTTTTTGCTATAAATCTAACAAGGGACATTACCCAATCGCCAATCGCCGACTTTGATGCGCTTTGAGTATAATATAGAATGCAAAAAAATATTTGACACGTATTTTCTTTTATCGGCCATCGTCCATGCTGAAGGGGTGAAAATGGCCCCCAAGTTGGGGTTGCAAAACATATTTTCTCGAATATCTCCGAAACTATTAGGCCTAGATAAAAAATTAAAAGTGCAAATTTTTCTATTTTAGAAGGCCAATAATATGGCGTAAGTGGATTTTTGAAAAATTTATTTGTTTAAAAAATATGTTAAAAATTAACATTGTTTTGCAAATTTTTTTAATAAAACTTTGTACTATTTTGATCAAATTTCACATATATAAACTATAGGTCAAAAGACAAAATACGGATAAATTGGAATTTTTAATTTCGCCTGTGGAAAAAATATTATTGTATTATATTACAATATTATAACTGTATTATATTACATTTTTTACACTAACTTATTTAAAAAAAGAATTTGAAGGTCCAAAGATGCCTCTATAAAAATATGCCGTTCGAGTCAAATATCGAATTTGATCCGCATTATGGGTGTGTACTGGTGACAGTATTCAACGCACGGAGGATCTCAACGCGTAAATTGTACTTGTGCGAAGTGTAATATTTTCATAATGATGTAGAATACGTGCAATTAAAGGAATTACATCTGTTGATTCAGAATTGCTTCACGATTGTAAGATATATAGTAACACAGAAATTATAGTTTTTTTATAATTTTCAAAATTATGTCTTTTACTTTGAAATGATTTTCTAATGTATTACAAAAGGTACTTGGAAATTTCGGAAGATTTATCGCTTATTAACCCGGACGGCTCTTTTTTTTATACGGTATTTACCAGTGACTCAGAATAACTTTGTCGTGAACCTAAGACGGATTGACACAAGAAAAAGAATAGGAGAATTTAAAATATACCTTTGTATATGGGACCGTAAGACAATGTGTGGTTAACGGAAACGCGACTACACAAAAGACGGGAAAACGTTAACAAGATTTTCACCAATTACGCGAAACTTTTTAATGACGCGATAATACTTTAATTTTTTTAGCGTCCTTTAAGACAATTTTTCTTCGCATACTCCCTGCGACCCCGCCTCGTTCGCAAATACTCTATCGGCTCTTTTAGAGCCTGTACCCGAATTTAACGTTTCAGACGTTAATCCGCGGCACCTCCGCGGATCCGCGAATGAGTAGCACTTCGGTGGCGGATTCAAATCTCCGTGATTCTCTTATTGTTAGACTAAACGAAAGAGTTGGGCGCCAGACGCTTTTCGGCGTCACGATACTGAACGTCACGCGTAAAAAGGGATTGATCGACGCGACACGTAACGAGACAAACGGAATGGAATTTGTCGTACAGAACGGCACGCAATTATGAAAACTGAAGGATTCGTATTGGAGACAGAAAGGCGCGGCAACTCCGGTACCGTAGAAAAAGGGTGCAGAGGTGGTATTCTTGGAGGGTAAAGAACTCTAGTGCACGGAGGCGAAACAGAAAATAGCGGACCGGGGAGTCAAACAAAACCTCGTTAAAGCTAGACGATATTCTATAACAACGGGTTTTATTTAACTAATAATAATTAACAGTGTTCAAAATACAGTTCACTTAACCCAATCATTGAGAATTTTAATTAATTCTACGCGCCATTGACCGTCGCTAAAATATTGTCGACACGACGACGCACGTACAATAACCGTTATTGAATCTACCCGGTAATTTTCCAATCGGTTAACGAAAACCCACGGTACGAAAGTTTCGGTTTCGTGATCTTACATGGAAATTAAAGTGGGGCTTACTGTGATGTTCGTTATCGACGGCCGGCACGGGAAATGCAGAAAATTTATGTAAAACTACTTTAGATAAGCATTCGGCATTTACCAAGTACGGAATACCGGAATGCGTGCCCCAATGCCAAAATGCGGACATCATGCGATCATCCCCACTTTTCTCCGGAATCTTCTTCTTTCTGCGATGTCTCTGGCAGGACCTCCTCCTGTTCTTCAGCGTCATTGTAGGTTATCTTGAAACGGTTTCAGGGTTGCAACACGTTCTAGCGGCGTGAGGTGCGTCATTCCGTTGATTCTGGTAACGACACTCGACGTATAAACAACCATTGCCGGTGTCTCTTTACCCATCCGACATTCCGAGAGGGTTCCTGTGACGGTTTGAAATACCACGTCACAAGGTATATTGAAAAAATTTTATATACTGCCTTCGCGAACACACTCATCAGGGTGACACACTACACAGATAACATACAAACACTGCAGCACGAAGAAAAGATGCAGATCATTAAGGAAAGTCATGAAACTTACCACCGAATAAGACACAATTATTATTAGAAAAAACAAATTAGTAAGAATAAGAAATAATACAGAATAAATATTTGAGGTGATGTATGTGAATGAATAATACCGTGTATGTGGCGAATGACTTTTATTAATACAGAAGGCGCGATGATTTCGGAGATCGAGACTAGAATGTCGACAAAAATACACTTTCGCATGGGACAGAAAACTCTCTTCTTTTTTGGGAAGTCCCGAGTGGAAAAGGCCGAGGGCCTCTTAGACCCGCCGAGCCAGAGCAAAACTATTTACAACTTAATGACTCTATTGATTCGACGGGTCAAAAGGTCTCTGACATAATCCAGATCTCGCTTTCCACTCGGAACTTTCCCTATCGCCACATATTATTATACGGTGCTTTTATGTCATGAATACTTTTCAAACTCTTGATGTTTCAAAATTGTATAATTCCTAAGACACGACCTAATACACTAGTCAAAAAAATTAAGGAAACAGAAAAATTCCTTAAATTTTTAGGTCATTTTCAAATTGCTCTGCCTCCGTTGAAATTCATCACAGAAGACATCCAGAATAGTCATTTTGAAGTTTCAGGTCTCTAGTTTTCGACTCTTTATCTCAAAAATTTTTTGAGCCCATTATCATTAACAAAATATACAAAAAATTGCGATGAAAAAATTTTAGAATTTTTTTTCTTTTTTTTAAGGTTTGTAAAGACATGGAGAAATTTTTCTGATTAATGCCACTTCTAGACTGCTGTTCCTTGTTCCTTCCCCTATAATTTGCACGTCCATGAAGTTCGTTTCGACGATCGGAGCATTGTCTTGGACTAATCTAAATCGATTTCAAGTGTATTAACGAATAGGTAAGACATGCGGATTTAAAATTGCATTGATATACCAGCTTGCTATCCAAACGGACAAAATTACACTTATCCGCGCAGACATTGCGGCAGGCGCACATACCGGCGCGCTCCCACGTTCATATACCTGCATATACACGGCACACATACACACGAACTCACACACACAAGAGGAAACGTAAATTCGACCTTCTCAGACCAAAGCATTCTTTAGAAATTTAGCAATGATACCGGTAAATGTAGAGAAACAACCTTTTTTAGCCAACAAACGTATTAGTCGCGGATCGGAGTAATAATGACGTTTTCTTAACTCTTTTCGTTCAAATTTCAAAGTTTGATCCATCGGTTCATAGGGAACAAAGAATCGGATCCATTTGAAACTTCGCATACATTTTGTGGGCAATATGAGCTTAAAAAAAAATCTAGGCTTAATCATTACAATACTTATTTACAAAGATACCGTAACTTTTGTAATTTGAGGAAAAAACGCCGTTTTTTGACGTTTTTTTACATCAATATTAAGCATACAAAAAAAATTTAATCAAAAACTGATATACCCATCTTAAAGGGTACATTCTCCGCTTTCTGGAACCGTATTTACAATTTCTGTTTGATGGTGGGTTCATGAAATAAAAACTATCAAAGGAAAAAGCGTCATTTTGGCTTTGGTAGCTCATAACTTTGCGACCGATCGTCGAAACGAACTTCATGGACGTGCAAATTATAGGGGAAGGAACAAGGAACAGCAGTCTAGAAGTGGCATTAATCAGAAAAATTTTTCCATGTCTTTACAAATCTTAAAAAAAAGAAAAAAAATTCTAAAATTTTTTCATCGCGATTTTTTGTATATTTTGTTAATGATAATGGGCTCAAAAAATTTTTGAGATAAAGAGTCTAAAACTAGAGACCTGAAACTTCAAAATGACTATTCTGGATGTCTTCTGTGATGAATTTCAACGGAGGCAGAGCAATTTGAAAATGACCTAAAAATTTAAGGAATTTTTCTGTTCCCTTAATTTTTTTGACTAGTGTACATAGCAAGAGGATTTTTAAGTATAGGTCAGTTTTTATGAAAACTATTAATAAACAGATTATGTAATGATTTTCCAAATATTTATTTTCACTTGTACTTGAAAGTGATACAGTGTGTAACGTAGTCGTTTCGGCCTGCCGTGTTGCTAGGCAACGCGGCGACGTACGCGACTCGCGGGCCCCTTGGTGCCGGACGCTTCAGCGCGCCAGGGTCGATGCGAAGGGGCCGATCGCGGAAGGAAGGGGACTTGTCGCAGGTAAAAGAGAACACTAGATTAACTCTAACTAGCCTTTATTAGTATTAGGTTCCGCCGGGGTCGCAGCTGGCGTCGATTGACCCTGCACAGTCTTTGGTTTCTACAATGTAATTAAATGGTGTTAACAGAATCGTTGTTACAAGATGGCGGCGGTGGCGGTGCGGATTTTACATGCTAACGGTTTGCATAATGACTTACGTACTACGCTATTCCTACTCCTACATGCCAACTTACAGACTATGTCCGGCGCGGCGTTCGCGGTTCGGTCGGTCGAACGCGTTCGCGGGTCTCGCGGTCCTTATACAGTGGATATTCTACATAAGCAAATCTTTCGGGTCTGAGGTTTTGCGTATATCGTACAGGTCCTACATTGATTGATGTCTTGCCGAACGTAGAAAAGGACAGAAGAGAAAAATATCACGGTCGCCGTTTGCGCATATCGTAAAGGTGCTACATTTCGAGCGAAGGAGACCGAACGTAAACAAACAGTGACTTACTAGAAGGACACTCCTAATGCAAGAATAAAACTTTTTTAGTTTTGATTTTTTTTTGTTGAAATTTTTTCCATCATATTTGTCACATTTTTCTCATTAAAATGAGACCAAACACGACATACTTCGGGACATATTTACTTGTAATTTCAAGTGTTACGCGTACATCGATGATTTTACTCTAATAAGATATTGCAAGTAAATATAACTCAAATTACGTCGTGTTTGGTCTCATTTTAATCAGGAAAACGTCACGAATATGATGGAAAAAGTTATATAAAAAAATGGATGAAAAATAAAAAAATTAACAATGCTCAAGTATTGCAAACAATCGAACAGACTTTTGATCTTTGCCGACTGCCACGATCGTAGCCTCTCTCTTTTTTTGACTCGCTATCCTCTTCAACGTGTAACCGTGCTGGTTACATAGTATAAGAACACCTTATATATCAGTTCATGTATTGCACTTTCACTAATTATGCGTGCGCATCGATCCCCACTCGATAACGATCGAATGAGGTCGATGCGAGGATCAAATTCGACACTCTACGTCTGGAAAGGAATCGAGTCGGTTCAATAATTATCTTTTCTGCGAAACACGGTACGCGATCGCGAGATGGTACGCGATCGCAAAAGTCTCTACGACTAAGCGTTCTGACACCAGATGTAGCTGACAATAAACCAAGAAAAAACTCGCTAGAATGTAATGACGCCTTGGGTCCTATTTCTGCTACGAGTCAAGAACTATTAAAAATAAACGGAACCTATTTCTAAAGGAAACTAAAACCATTAACTGTAGACTATTTCGGGTTAAGAAAAAATCAATCAAAGGCCGACAACTCATTAAATAATGGATACGGAGGAGGTTTAATGTTTTCAATTACAATTCTCAATGCAGACTCTATCGCATCTTTCCGAACGTGGTATTTTATAAACTTCCCGGTACTCCGAGAAGGGAGGAAATACGGGGTGGGGAAAGTGTGACGTCCTACAAAATTGGAAAATTCCACTTTCCCCTGCAGCGGTCATCCGGCCCAAAATCGTTGACCGGTGACACCCATCCATCCCTCGATTCACAAATTACCGTAGCAGTAATAAACCCAAGGATCGCCTCGACTTTTCGAATTACATGTACCGAAAAAAAGAAATACAACTACGCCAACCCTGGGCTCAATGTGCCTACCAAATGTTAAACCGGACAAGTAACGGTTCCTTGGACTTTATTACTGCTATGTCAAAGCTTCAATATTACAAAAGATCCTAAAAATCTAACATTATGTCTACATAACTCAAAAAACTTGGCCTGAGGTCTAATCTTCTCGCTGTAATATATGTGTATTTGAAGATCTGACAAGACCCTTGGTTTAGACGCGGGGATGTATGGAAGGGATGAATAGGAACTATTTGTATGGACAGGACGGTTCGTTAAGTACTACCGAGAAAGTCAAGTCTCGGTTTTATGCGCCGTCTAGTGGCGATGAGCGTAGGAGTGAAACCGCCACAATTTATATGGTATTTTTTGTCGAATTTCAAATTTTAAACTAATATGTTGTGAGTTCCATTTTCCTACACTTCTATGTCATCAAAACATGCCTGACATTATATTTTTGAAATTTGTTATTTAACCCGTAACAGTTTAAGGTATTCCACTTAACTTCATTACAAGACTGTGGATGTTTACGTATTTTGACCTGACATATCGAAATGTTAATGAAATCGACGTTTTTCCTGTTGATTTAGCCAACATTTTGTCGTGAGCCCTTCGTCTATTAAAAGAAATTGAAGTAGAGAAAGTCATGTTTGCTTCAAATGTTGAATTATGTGATTAAACAGAAATAGTATAATAAGCAAGAGCTACCAATTTTCTACCGACAGATCATCACTTTCAACCATTTTTTAATGCATTTTGTTCATCCGAGGAAGCATTACGATGTTATACAAAATTTGTTAAAACCATCAAAATGCTCTCTACATCGTAAGGTGTTACTGGAAAAAATGCATTAAATATCTTCTAAGAACATACGAAAACAGGTATTCCATGTTTTCGAATGATTTTTCAACAATA